TTGTTTTTTTTTTTTTCGAAATACCTTCACTCACCCAACCCCCCCCCCACAAAAATTAGTTTTTTTTTTGTTTTTGTTTTTTGAGGGGGTGGGGCTGGGGATGCGCCGCCCCATGGCGCTTCCCGAATCCCGAACCCCCCTTCCCACTGACCGCTATGCGGCCGCAAAGGCCGCAAAGGCCGCGCGGACACGTCCGCGGCGGACACGTCCGCGGCGGACACGTCCGCGGCGGACACGTCCGCGAGGTCGCGGTCTAGGCCGAGGCCGTGGACTTGGCCGCAGATGGCCGCCGCCAAGAGGGATTCATAGGTGCCATGATCGGCCAGGGCCCTATCCATTTCGGAAGGAGCTTGCGAGAGAAATCTTGTTCGAGGCTGAATTCCGCAGCGGAAACCCATACGAGGTCGTCGGAGCGGAATGGACAAGGAAGACACTGACGGTTGGCCTGTTGGCGCATACGTTGCTGCGTCTTTGCCATCTGGTCACGTGCCTTGACAAGAAGCTCTTGCATCCGACGAATGAAGAGAAGATGGTCGTCGCTCTCGGCCGCTCGTGGAATGATTGTGTCCAACGGAGAATTGACCGGCGAGCCATGCTCAAACTCAAAGGGCGACATCCCGATAGCCGGATGGATGGACGAGTTGTATGCCAACTCGACATCCGGCAGCCGCTCAACCCAATCTTTCTGGTCGGGACGGATGAGAGTTCGAAGGAGGACCTGTGCGGTCTGATGTGCCCTCTCCGTTTGGCTATCAGTTTGGGGGTGGGCCCCGGTGGCGAGCCGAACTTGGCTTGAGGGATGAGCCCCATCGTTTGATGAGCGCCAACCAAAAATCGGACATGAACCGAGTGTCGCGGTCGCAGACGATCTCCTTGGGGTAACCCTTGGTTCGAATCCAACCGACGTAGAGAACCTCGGCCAACTCTGGTGCCTTGACATGATAGCGGCAAGGCAGAAATATGGCAAACTTAGTGAGTCGGTCAACCACCGTGAGAATCCCATCCACACCCGTCTTATGCTTGGGGAATGGCCTGGTAATGTCCATGGCAATCGCTTCCCTTCGGCGAAAGGGGACCGGTAATGGTCGCAGTTCGCCGTACGGACGATGATTGCGTGATTTGCAACGTCGGCAAACCTCGCATGACTCGCAATAGCGGGTGACGTCGTCGAGAAGACCGGGCCACCAAAAGCGCTCGCAGAGTCGGCCAATCGCACAATTGACTCCAAAATGTCCAATGGCGGGGGCGTCGTGGAACTCGCCAAGAAGCCGCGTGCGCAAGTGTGAATCTTGCGGCACACAAAGGAGATCCTTCCCCCGCGAGTGAACGAGCATGTATCCCTCTTGGATCCGATAATGCGAAGGCGCCGGATTGGGAGAGGAACAATTTGCGTGCTTGTAGCGAAACTTGGGGTCGGCTTGATAGCCGCGGATGAAACTGTCCCACAAGTCATCCTCGATCTCGAAGGTTGAGTAGACCGCGGTGTAGTGGTCCGGACGCCGTGAAAGAGCATCCGCAAAACGGTTTGACTTCCCCGGAATGTGATCGGGAAAGAAGTTGAATTGGTCGATGAAGGTCATCCAACGGGCGATGGTGCTGTTGACGGTGTCCTGAGACTTGTAGAAGACCAACGGATTGTTGTCCATTACCCATCGGAACTGGCGTCGACCAAGGAGGAAGTGCCGCCACCGCTTGAGTGCATGGACGAAGGCGAGAAGTTCCTTCTTGCGTGCATCATGGATTGAGTGCACGACCGACACTTTCTTGCTGAAGTATTCGACCGGGTGCCAGTCCGCGCTGTCATGTTGTTCGAGGACAACACCAATGCCATAGTCGGACGCGTCCGTGGTGACACGTGTTGGCAATAGCGGGTCGTATATCCGCAATACTTCCACGGAGAGCAATGTGGCCTTGAGGGTCAAGAATGATTCACTCGCATCCGTCCCGAAGTCAAACGGTCGGTCCTCGCATTGAAGCTTGGTTAAGTGAGCCGCGATCTTCGAGTACCCTTTGATGAAACGTTGGTAGTAGCCGGCAAGGCCAAGGAATGATCGGACATCCGTGACGTTCCGCGGCTCCGGCCAATCTTGGACGGCTTGAATCTTGTCCGACAACGGACTGATGCCTTGTGGAGTAACGAGTGGCCCAAGTATTCCAACTATTGGCATACGAATTCGCACTTGTCGGGGTTGGCTTTGAACTTGGCACGCCAGAGTGTCTCCAACACTCGTCGAAGATGGTCAAGATGTTCCTCCAAGGTCCGGCTATAGACGAGGATGTCGTCCAAATAGACCAGCACGAACCGGTCCAGCATTGCACGAAACTCGTTGGGCATCGCCGCTTGAAAAGTAGCCGGTGCGTTGGTGAGTCCAAAAGGCATGACGACCCACTCGAAGTGCCCGTACCGTGTCTTGAACGCGGTCTTGTAGCGATCTTGCAGCCGAATCGAGATCTGATGATATCCTGACTTCAAGTCCAGTTTGGAAAAAAAATCCGCACCGCCCATGCGTTCCAGAAGGTCGTCAATACGAGGAAGAGGTCCCGCGTTCTTGACGGTTTGCGCATTGAGCTTGCGGTAATCGATGCATAGGCGAAGGTCTTTGTTCTTTTTCCAAACGAAGAGAACCGGCGCACCATAGGGTGAGCTGCTAGGCCGGATCCAGCCTTTGTCCAACAAGTCGTCGAGCTGCGCGCGGAGTACTGTAAGTTCCTCCTCGCTCATGCGATAAATGCAACCTTTTGGCGGCACGACACCGGCGTCGAGAATGATCTCGTGCGAGATCGATCGATCCGGCACCACGCCAGTAGGTGACTCGAAGACGTCGGCGAATTCGTCGGGCAACCGCACCACCCGGGGGTCTGAAGACAAGTCCGTGGGTTGAGATTCGGCTACCGCGACGGTTTGAAGAAAACATAAGCCTATCTCTTCGGTCCGCTCGTAAGCGCAAGTGGCCCGAAACGATTTGGCTGTTACAACTTGGCGCCGGATCGAAGGGTGTGGGAGAGGAATAGTACATGGTACTTAGGCGCCAAACGCGTCACGAACCGAAGTGTCCGTCGATGGAAGTTGACCGTGTGATCCGCACTTGCAAGCCAAGGCATGCCTAGAATGATGTCGAAAACCGTGTCCAAGACGTCAAACGTCACCGGTTCGCATGCATGAGGTGCGAAATAAACCAGGACGGCTTCGATGTAGCAATCAAGGAGTTGTTGCGTTCTTCCGTCCGCCAACTTGATCGACGTAGGGTGTGCCTTCCTTCGAACTTGTGGTCCAAGGCCGGCCCTTTGCATGAAGGACTGGCTAATGAAGTTGCGAGTCGCGCCGCTATCCAGCAAAGCGCTGCAGGACGCTTGCCCGATTTGGATGCGGACATAAAGGAGCGGTGCGTTGTTGTCATTGTACCGCTGCGTGCGAAACTCGCGGGCCACCTTGCTCACATACGCAAGAATGTCCCCCAACGCGACTTCGTCCTCCGTCGGCGAAGTTGGTGGTGCATAGAAGGCTAAGTATGTATGGAGATGAGCGCTAAGAGCTGCACATTGCGGCTCCGGTAAGCAGCCGGTGGAAGGGAGAGGAAGCCATGCGAAATCCTCGGGTGTCAACGGGTCCAAGTCCTCTATGTTGAACGCACGCGCCGAATCCCGTGAAGGTCCACTTGAAGACGAATCAATGTCGCTGCTTCCGATCGGAGAAGAAACCGCACATACATCATGTCCTTGGGCTCGTGAATTCAGCAAAGGTACGAACCGGGCAGCAAAGTCCTCGAAGGAATGAAGAATGGGAGGACTTACGACATCCGCATGTGCCTCGGAACCGAGGGAGGTTACCCGCACGGCAACTGGTTCCGTAGGCGTCGGGAGTGTCGTCGCAACACTCTCGGCGGTGCTTACTTTCCCGACTGGGTGGTACCCTTGGCCTCCGTGGGACAGTTCGCTGTCTCATGTGCTGAGCTGTTGCACCACAAACAATAGCGGTACTTGGTGCGGACGCGGTACCCGTGCTCCGTAAGCCCGTACGTTGTCCAAGGTCCTTGCTCTTGAGCTGCTTGCTCGGGCCCAGAAGAAGTAGTGGTGTTCGTCTTTGTCTTGCCACGTCCTCGGCCTTTGGCGGGGCGGCCACCATTCTGGGCAGCTGCGAGTCTGTCTCCCTCGTCAGACGAAACAACCTCGTTTAAAATTGAAGGGTCGCTAGGCGTTGCTGCTGCGACCACGGCCACTTTCGGCCGACGCTGATTCGCGCCCTGGCCGGCAGTTGACGAGTGGCCCGTATTCCGGGTTGCCAAGTTCGTCACAATGATCTGCGCGGCTTTGTTGAAGAGTTCCTCACTTGTGTTGAGGTTCTCGCGACTTGAGATAACGCATTCTGCAACGCTGGGAACGACCTCTTGATGAAGTAAAGCTTGATGCCGTCGAAGTTCATCGGCAACTTGGGCGTGGTTGCCAACCGTTGGAACTCAGATATCCAGTCTCCGCTTCGCTTGCTATTCTGCAAAAATGTCAGCAGCTTGTCCATTGCCTGGTGCTCGGGCGGTTCTACTTGGAAATGCTTCTTCCATGCCGCCGTGAGATCTGCCCAGGTGGTGTATTTGTGCAACTCGGTGACTGTACATGCATGTGCGGACAGCATGTTGTCCAACCATGCCTGACATGCGCCTCCCGAGCGGGAGTACAAATATGCATGCCGATTTGCGTCAATGACGTGGTGGATATCCAGCTTGAGTTCAAACTGGCGCCACCACTGGATGGGGTCGGTCTTCGATGCGTCACAGAAGATCGGGAGCCCATCGAACTTGGCAATAGTTTCACGTGTCGTTGCGCTGGGGCCGGCTGCTGCGGAACCCTGCTGTTTCAGCTGCTGTGTCCCAGTCTTAAGTGTTCCCACGTCGATCTCCAAGACATTAACGCGGTCGACGAGGTCGGAGGGGCCGGCGCTGGTGTTGGCGGTAGCGACCTGCTGCTCCAGCTGCTGCATGCGCTTGAGCATCTGGTCCACCGACTGCTGTAACACCTTGTTGGTGTGGTTGAGGGAGTGGATGTCCTCCTGCTGCGCGATACAAGTCGCAAGGAGGTCCGTGACGCGGTTGAGCAGCTGAGATACCTTGCTCCCATAGTCAACGGATTCGCCGCTCTCGGCCTCCCTCTGCCAGTCCTTGGCCTGTGCATGTAATGCACCTTCCTCCCTGAATATAACTTTGCGTCGCCGCACACGTTCTTCATCAGTGGCCTTGGCTTCTGCTGCCGCGTGCTTCTGTCGCTGTTCTTCGGCCAGAAGACGCAGTCTCTCTGCCTCTACCTCTCTCTTCTTCTGTGCTGCTGCTGCTGCTTCGGCCTTTGCTTGCTTTCAGCTATGATGGCTACCAACCGTGCCTCATAGGCCTCGTCAGACTCGCCTGCTTTCTGATCCATCACTGCTGTCTGCGAGCGAGTAAGTATGGTCATGCGCTGCGGGTCCCTGACGTGGCCTACTGAAGTGAGGACTTACCAGGTCTGCACTGCAGGTAAGAGGACGGAGAAGGGATGAAGAGTAGGGGTGGCGAGAAGGGGAGTGGGCAATCGAATGGGTCGCCCAGACATGGAGCCACTAATATAAAAAAAAATTGGAAGTTTTGCAAAAATTTCGAAGAAAAGAAAAAAATTCGAATTTGCAAGTTTGGTGGGCCCCTCAAGTATCCCCTCAGCAGTTAGTTCGAAAACAAAAACAGAATTTTTGAATTTCAGACTGCAAAATGAATCAAAATATCAAATGGAGATGATCGGAGCAGCTGAACTGTGAAATCAGCAACAAAAAGTACCAATTTCCGCAAGTCCAGAAAATTCCGAAATACCAAAAAAAAATCAGAATTATTTAGGTGAGAGTATAACTGCAAGAGGATCTCCCGAAAAAGTAGAATTTCCGAAACTCAGATTAACGGTCAATATTGAAATGGTCGTTGTCCCCAGACTGCGTGGAAAACAGAATGCTGGGGGGGTTCCAGAAATTCGAACTAATAAAAAAAGATGAATTTTCAGAAGAAAAAAAAAAAATCGGAATTTTGGAATAACGGGAATTTCGTAACGGAAATAGATTAAAAAAATTACGAAATTTTGAATTTCAGAAAAAAACTTCGAAATGACGAATTTGAAAAAAAATTCACGGATTTTTTTTGAAATATCAGGAAATTGCAGAACATATGGATCGAAAGAAACTTTTCGTAACAGTATTCCGGATCTCCAGCAACGAAATTTCGAATTTCAGAAAAAAGGTGAAAATCGAGAATTTCAGATGCTTTGCTATTGCGATTTTCATCCAAAAACAAAGAGTGGGAAAATGCAATCCGAAAGAGAGAAAAAAATTTGATTTTATAGGTCAGAATCTGCGATTTGGGGGACTAATTAGTGTGTCCTAATCAACCAATCAATAAATTAATCAATCAATCAATCAATCAATCAATCAATCAATCTTGGGTTGTCCCCGCGCTTGTGTCAGATCAGGTTGTCCTGATTCACAAGTGTGGCTCCAATACCAAAACTGACGCATGCCCAATGGGACAATGCGCAGGGAGCCAAGGATCCGCTATGTGATGAAAAGGACTTAAATGGACAATGCGAGCTCAGCGTACCATCAACAAGCAATGTACATTCCGGATACATACAAGATGGCACAAAATGGCGCAGTGGAAGACTTAAAGAGAAGATCTGATCTGATCTGGACTGACCCGACATCCATCACACATCACACATGAAAGAGAGGGAGGAGGGACTGCAATCATGGAAGAAAGGTCCCTCCTTCGCACATATACATGGGGAGATACCACGGATGAGAGATGGGGGAGGGACGGGACGAGGAGGAAGGAGGCAAGGGAGTAGACCAAGATCGCAATAGCGAAGTCCCAAAAATAGTCCCTTGCTGAGTGTCCAATCAATGTCTGTCCCAGAAATGTCGAATCAGATCCTGGGCAATGCGCCCAGTGTAACCTCTGCCTGAATCCCTACTGATAACCTCTCACACTCTCAGATTCGAAGAAGAAGATGAGAAAGAAGAGGAAGGAGAGAGAGAGAGAGAGAGAGAGA